GTTCCCCTTGGGGCTAAGCCCCCCTTGTTCTTGAAACCTAGTGACGCCCCTGATACCAGATTTAAAAAAATGGTAAATAAGGAAAAGCTGGTTGGAAAGTGACATCAGTGAAACAGGTGACACCGTTCAGTACTGTCATGCGCATGGTTACTGGTGATCATCAATTAGATTGGCAGTCTTTCTGCTTACGTATTTTTGATTAACTTAATGTACCATCTGGTGGGTATACATCTGCATTTTCATTCATTTTCAGTTCCTGTCTGTATAATTACCAAGATTCGAAGTAGTTTATTCCAACCAATTAGTTGTTTTGTTATGATTGAATTGAAGCCCAACAATGGCTGTGCAAGTTATAATGCAACGCTTGGTATTGTGTTGTTTCCGCTCGACACCTGTCCAGATTTCCCAGACGCATCCTCATGTTGAATGCCTGAAACACAATAAGTGCTGTGTGCCCCGTCCGTCACGTATTAGACACTTTTGCTTATTGAGGTTTTCGGCTTCGTTTAGCACTGAGGTGCAATTTCCATCTTGCCGTCCCCTTAACACAGTGTGGAGGAAATGCCATTGTTATTGTAAGTCCTCTCCTTTGCAAAGCAGATTCACCCATCAAATGGCTTCAAAGAATCCGCTCTATATTTTCCAATGAAACAAACGCTGCAGAAGAGGCCTCGCTCAGACTTGATTGAACAGATTTAGTCCAAACAATAGTCCTGACCAAAACGGGAAGTAATTTTTAGAGACTCCACAAACAAACCAAACAGCATATCGAGGTAGAATGAGGATATGTGAATTTGGTCCGACGGTGTTGCGACACACTCGAAGACAAGCACAATGAAAAACGATCAAGTTTATATCGATTTTACTTCCTTTTTAACGGCAGAGAGAAAGTGCTGTCTTTGTTGTCGTTCTCGTAGCTCAATTTAAACCCAGTTTGACTCCTGTGATTTGATCCCCTGCGCTGGAACTAACATTAGTTTGCGACACAGAGTGGATGTAATGACACATAGCATATTGCATCGCCATCAGCAAAACCGCTCAATTTTGGGGCAGGCCTTTCAGAAAATAATGACAGCGCCACCTCTGAGATCCAACACAATCCATTCAACAGCATCAGTCAGCCTCCCAATTTGGTCGGAATTCAAAACATTTTCCCCCACAGGAAATGCAGGCATGGTACGAGCAAAAATTTGTTTTGGGATAAAACTGTTGCTACAATGAAAAGCAATTTTCTGAACCGCAATTCTGTGAATAACATTCTCAACTGTCATGCAAGTGTTGAAATAAGCATAAACTTTTTTGTAAAACGACACGGTGCATTGTGTATGTGAATAACGGGCTCTTTTGCAGAAGACCGATATGATCCAACACATATTGAGATGTGCCCCATCAGTAGACCTCAGCTGGCTTGTAGATTCATTTCTATGTGTATATTGTGAGTCATGGGTGGAGTCATGCAAGCTGCTGATGGATTTTTTTTCGCTAGGCCCGGCGAGGCAAGGCAGCTTTATTTATAGACCACATTTCACACCCAAGGCAGCTCAAGTCACCACAACAGGTAACGACATTCAGAAGCAAAGCAAAGAAAACAAAAGTAGTTGATCAAAAAGACCAAAATAGCGACCGTAAGAGTGAAACAATTGTCCCTCTAATGCAGAAAATCACGACACACAGGCCTTTTATCACAGCATGATAATATTTGAAACATCAACAACACCACAAACAGCCTCTCTTACTCGTACATTGATGAAAATAAAAATAATGACATTGTATTCTTGGGCTAAATATACTAAGCTGTTAAAATATATCAATGGTAAGGCTAGTACATTGTTGTGTTGTATGCATAACCCTGAGAAAAGACGCAAAAGTAGTAAATGTGATGAGTTACTGGAATTTCCTACGATATAAACAAAGAGAAGGTTTCAGCTGTAATGTGGTTGTTGAAAGCAGTCGACAGAAAGTGATTGATTGAAGGAAGCACAAGAAATGTGTGCTGTGGTGGCATATGACCAGAAAATGGTCCCGTTCAGACTTCCTCCTCTTCTGTTTCATGGAACAGCGGCAGGGAGTGTTGCTCCTTCGGGACTGCCGATGAGACGAATCATGAAATAAAGTGAATGGACTAAAAATAAATAAATACAACCCACGGTACGGCTCAAATGATCTCGGAGACTTTGTCTTCTTGGATCAAGCCACAACATATTGCATAAGCTTTTTCTGTCTGGAATGATCTCACAAGCAGGTCCTCATTTTCTATTCTCCCCGCTACCCCCACCCCTTCGATGTATTTATTTATTTATTTAGTGGGGGGGGGGGGTTGACAGACAAGGAAAGCGTTTGTCCTCGCATGTCATTAGGCAGCCAATTAACAGATCCAAGGTAAGAGATTTCATCCTTGCACACACACTGGTTTCTTTCACACACGAGAGCCAATTAACAGATCCAAGGTAAGAGATTTCATCTTTGCACACACACTGGTTTCTTTCACACATGAGAGAAGAGAGAGAGAGAGAGAGAGAGAGAGAGAGAGAGAGAGAGAGAGAGACTTCCTCTTTTGCTTTGGGCCTTTGTCCGGCCTACTCTCAGACGAGAGCGAGAGAGACTAAAAGAAACATACCCAGGATCCCCTGTTGAGACAGTTCTTCCTCAATAGAAAGCAGCCTGTTGTATTTAGTCATCCTCTCGGCACTGGTCAGACCTCCCAGTTTGACATAGTCCAGACCCAGACCCACCGCCTGAAAGACAAGAGAGAGGGTCAGGAAAAAAACAAAAATCTGTCTGACGGCACCAAAGGGAGAGAGACAATTACGCTGTGTGTGTGTGTGTGTGTGTGTGTGTGTGTGTGTGTGTGTGTGTGTGTGTGTGTCTGTCATCCCTTCCACAGTGCCTTTGGCATCAGAGGTGTAACACATTTATTGGCCTGCGCCATTCACCAACACGGGACATTCCTGTGCCTGCAGTTCGTGTTCACGCAGCTGATGCGGCTTCCAGCGAGTAGCTAATTAGATGGAAGGCCACATCGGTGCCAGTGTCTGAAGTAAAATCACGTTCCTTCAACTGAGTAGATTTTTCAGGCATCTGTACTTGGGTGTTTCTTTAACTACATTTTAACCCAGCTCTCTGTATTTTGTTCTTTGTCAAAATAGGTTCCTAACTTTTTTTAACGTCTGCAGATGACGACACATTGCAGCAAAACACGGAACCGCAAATAGGGTTTTTTTTTTTGGTCATTGTGCCACGTTATCATAATAGGAGTTGTAATATTTGACAATAAGGATACGTTTGTACTTTTGCATTTCATCACCCTCATACGATAAGTCATTTTTTTCACTTTTTTCAGAAAACATGCAAAACGAATCCTGATTTGATTACCGTATTTTCTGCACCATAAGTCGCATCTAAAAGCATTCAATTTTCTCAAGCTGACAGTGCGC